AGTCTAGTGCCTATCCTGGTCTCCTCCACTCTATTCCCTCTCTCCTTCTGAAGGTAAAGATGTTATTTTTATGATTTATCCTTCATTAGTTTATCCTTCTATAATTACTTTAATCTAAGCAAGTTCAAAGATACATCTATGCCCTCCTCATCCTTCAAGGCTCAGCTCTAATATTACTCTTCTGAGGCCTCACCAAGAGGAATGGAGTACTCATCAAAGGATTACAGCCAGAAGTATATCTTGCCTGACAATATACTGGTTTAGTCATGCTAATTGTTCACAAGTTGCCTCCATTCTGATTTTTCACTTCTCTATTCTAATTGGTTTTACCTAATTACAGTCCATTGCATTCACATCTGCCTCCCTTGGTAGCAAAAGTTGCTGGAATTTTCTAGAAAACCAAGGCCAGACCAACCCTTACCTATTTTTTATATTCCATACAGTCACAGCATCAACGAAAATTTGTTGACCTGAATGTATAAAGCAGTGCCTCTTATCCCTGGATAAGCATTCAAATTACCCATACAGCTTTATCAGCTTTTTTCAAAGTACAGGTTGCCAAGTTCTGCCCAAGAGCCACTGAATCAGAATCTCCAAACACAATCAACAAGAATCTGAACTAACCAAAAAACCATGATTCTAGTATGCAAACAGTTGGAGAGCCATTGACCAATAGCCACCCGGGGAAAATGCCTCTATGGAGCACACGCAAGCCCTTGTGGTAGATGCTTCTTAATAGATTCTCCCTCCGCTGTCTGAGATGGTGCAAGTCTGTGTCAGCAAAGCCAAAAGGAAAACTTAGCTAGTTATTTCATTTACACTAATGATTTTCTTCAGAGAAAACTTGAAGAACTGTGGAGGGTGGGTTTATGCCCTCTAAAGAGAATTTGTTGCATATAAAGGTTAATTATTTTTTAAGGTCACACAGTTTGTCAACACCTAGGATGAAGCTGGCTTTGTGATCTTCTGGCCTAGAGCTCTGTCATCATTAGCTAAACAGTCTCTTCCCTTTACCAATCCTAGGATTGCCCGAGGGCAGAGATGATACAAATCTTCTCATCCCTCCAGGGGCCCTTCCATCCCCAGGCAGGATTTGAGAGCCAGAAGGGCTTGTAGGCATTTAATCCAATCGCTAAAGTGAGAAAACTGAGGCCTGGGTCAGGAGGGCAGTTCAAGGCAGGCTTGGACTAGAATCCAAGTCTTCTGCTTCCTGGTTGATGAGGCATTTTACTTCCCTCGCTGCATCAACAGTCTCACCCATTCTTGTACCACCACAGCTCATAGCCGATACATCGATGACTTGTGGTGTGATTGAAGCTAAATTAGAGTTGTTGACATCTAATCTCAGCCAAAGGGCCTAATATCACTTTTCTGCAACTGTGTGGAAGACAAGAATCAGACTCTACTCTACTTGTCTAAGCTTTAGTTTTGTGACAAAAGCCCTGGCCAGACCTGTGTCCAGAAAGTTACACCCAATGTGAGCTAAGAGGAAGAGGGGGAAGTGGACTGAGAAAGGATTATCTCCTCCTCTTACAATAACACTAAAAGAGCTCTCTCATTTGATTTTTCTTGATCATCTAGCAGTGAAAAGAGGCAGTGGGTGAGTGGGATGTCCAGGGGCAGGGGGCCTCCAGAAGTAGCGGCACAGTTGGCTTCCTCCAAGTCTGCCTTTTCACTTCTGTCCCTGGGGCTCTTAGGCCAGAGATAGTCTAATTGGTGTCCTGGTAGAAAGAGATGGCAGCTGAGCTCTATAGAAACAAGGCTTAGGTTTTCCTTCCATTGTGCCCGTCCACATAATCCTCACCATTCCCAGTCCCCCGCCTGCAGTTTAAACCAAAGGCAAAAACTGGAGGTGGTCCACTTGGTACATCTGGCTATTTTGGAAAGTTCCAGGGAGGGAGTCAACATGGTAATCAAATGCATCAATTAAACCCAACAGACCCTTTTCAATCACAGGCAGCATGTGCACACACATGCACACACACGCACACACACACACACACAAAATACAATCGGCAGTTTCAATGTACTCTCCAGGGCTCACTCTGGCCTCTGCAGCTCCCACAGTGTGAGGCAAGGCAAAAAATCTATTCAGGCCACAAGGTTGAGGTGATGGGGGATGAAGGAAACCAGAGGGGGTGGGCAAGCATGCTGGTGAACTTGAATGTGTGCCAGACAAGGGGGCCAAAGGGCTTTGAAAGCAAGAGTCCTATAGGGATGCTAATCATGAGTATTTTATTGTGATGATTCTGGGTCTCTTTCTCTCACTAGGATGCACACAAACTGTGATGTGGGATGGGAGCCTCCCAGCTGCTCCCTCTATTGCCATTGGAAAAGAGGTAGTAGAGAAAAGCCTTCTGCCCAAGGCTTTTGGAGAAATCATTGCTTCGGCTGGATTAGGTTCAAAAGGGAAATTTAGGCTAGAATTTAAGAATTTTCCAAGCTAAAAGTACTGTAAATCTATAACAGGTACCAAGAGTATTAATAATATATTCTAGACCTCTTAAAAATTATAAGCGGGTAAATCTCTCATCATTGGATGGATACAAAGAGATGTAGAATGACCACTTACTGAGATGATGTAGGAGACATTTTTATGGAGGGTGTAGCAGGGTTGAATTGTGTCCCCCTCAAAAATATGGCCAAGTCCTAACCACTAGTACCTCTGAAGGTGACCTTATTTGGAAATAGGGTCTTTGTAGATGTAATGAAATTAAAATGAGGTCATACTGATTGAGGGTGGGTCCAATCCAATGACTAGTGTCCTTCCAAGGAGGCCATGTGAACACACACACATACACACCCCGAGGGAAGATGGCTCTGTGAAGACAGAAGCAGAAATTGGAGGGATGCAGCTATAAACCAAGGGATGCCAAGGATTGTGGACAACAACCAGAAGCTGGACGAGGCAAGGAAGGATTCTTCCCCGGAACCTTCAGAGGGAGCTGGGCCCTGCTGAAGCCTTGATTTCCGACTTCTAACCTCTAGCACTGTGAGACAATAAGCTGTCATTTTAACTCACCCAGTCAGTGGTCCTTTGTTATGGCAGCCTTAGAAAACTAATACAGGATAAGACTCAATGCCTGGAGGGTCTCTTCCAACTGCATGAGGCTACAGCCCTACATTTGTGGGAGTTTCTTTGTTGGGAGTTTATACAGAAACATCTCACTGGCCTAATTTTCACACAGTCCTGTCATGAGAGAAGGAAGCAGAAGAGGCTGTAAATCAGTGGGTAAACATGAAAGCCATCATAGGCCCTGTAGAGAGAGCCTCAACTGGATTCTCTTTGCCTCAAGACAGGGTCAGATTTTGTCATCCTAGGAGATGCTCTCACACATGCGCTCCGTTCTTCCTTCTCCTCGTGAAAAACCACTGCATACTTTGTGCTCGCTCTAGGGGACAGGAACCAGACCCCAGTCCCTAGGGCTGTTGAGTGGGATTCCTGACTCAGGAGTGCCATTCAATCCCAAACAATTAAGATAATCCAATCAACATCGCAGACAGCACACACTAATGCCATTAGAGGCAAAATCTCTCAGGGTAGTGGCGGGCAGAGGGGAGGGGAAACAAAGCAGAGTGGGCTCAGGCTCAAGGTCACTGTGTTCTCCTAGACCGAGTTAGCTGAGACAGATGGTTCTGAAGCAACGCCAGGGTTCTTAGAGGCAAACGACACCAGTGTCCTCCTCTAGGGAAACCATGGCCAAAAATAAAGAGGGCACATGCTCAAAGGATAAGGAACCATCCAGAGACTTTAGGAGAGCCCATGCATCTCCATGAACAGCCCACGGAGCTAGACTCCGTAGACGTTGTTTTGGTCTCAGCTTCTCCGTTTATCAGCTGCGTACCCTTGGGCAAAGCACTCAGTCCCTCAAACCTCAGTCTCCACATTTGAAAACAGGGACAATTGACTGACTTCCTATATTTCTCTGTTGTTCCACAGACCAAAATGTATCAGGATTCAATGCTTCTCACTTTACAGAGGAGGAAAATGATGCTCCCTGACTTCCCCAAGGCCACACCACCAGTGAATGACAAACAGAGGATGGCACAGAGTAACTGCCCCTGTAAGTAGCAGTTTTTCTGCTTCTAATGTACCTGAAAACTTTGCCAATGGTAACTCGCTGCACATATCATTACATTAATTATTAATATCGACTGTTAAATATTATTACACTAAGAGAAGTGAGCATTAGTTTGACCTTGGAGCTCATCAACAGCACAGAGGTGATTCACAGGTCTCGGGATGAGGTGGACGTAGAGATTGCAAAGCAATTTGGCACCTTCTTCTGTCAAAGGGTCTTTTCCGAGCTCATCGGTCAACAGGGAAGAGAGGAAAGTACTTTGTTTAAACAAAGCTGGAGGTGTTGGTGGCTGTCCCTGCTGGTGGAACGGGCAACAATGAAACAGAAAGCATTTCTAATGTCACAAAAGAGGACACATTTTGCCTCCTGACATTCCCCGTATCATCATGCTACTGTATGACAAAGACCCAGATCGGGGGAGCAGAGCTGGACGGCTTCTGGTGTCAGCCTTAGAGAGGAACATAGATCAGGGGTATCTACATCCACAGGAGACCCCAGTATCAGAACCAAGACCTTCCAAAGTCTGGCCCTATGATGTTTAGCCACTTTGACATCCCGAGACCAGGAGAAAAGTCGGGGTGAAATGGTCACCAGAGATTGATAAACAACTTTCAGCTCCAATGTAAGGGACAAGAAAAACACAAGGCAGGGTCCCTGCCGGTAAGGAATTGGCAATCTGAGGAGAAAAATGAAGTGCAGAAGTCAGGCACACTGATGAGTAGTGGGAGAGGCCTGAGGGGTGCAGTAGGAATGCAGCGTAGCAGAACGGAAGGGACCCTGGATTTGTAATTAAGACACCTGAGTTCCAGTATCTTCTCTGCCACTTACTAGACTTGTGATCTACACATCGCTTAACCTCTCTGAACATCCTTACCTTTACCATCTCTGAAATGGGTAAAAAATGGCAGGTAGCATTAGTGAAAGTTATTCAGTAAACATTTATTAAGTGACTTCTCTATGCCAAGCTTACAATGGGTAGGAAGAAGTTTACAAATTCTTAAACACTGTCTGAGCATAAACTGCCCTTCACAAAAGTTGGAAAAGACATTGTAAAAGAGATGAGTCTTGAGAAGGTCCTAAAGATGGTTCAGGCGTTGGATGCCTGTGGGAAGTGAGGAAGGAGATGATACATTCCAGACGGCAGGAATAACATGAGCAGAAGTTCAGGGGATCAAATGAGCTTGGCGATTTCAAGGGACTGAGAGGGAACTAGTGTGGCTTGGGTGGTGGGTGGGTAGGGGTTGTTAGAAGTAAGATTGAACCCCGAGGATGGGGCAAGATGATGAGAAACCTTGGAAGATGGCCTTTGAGGCCTCTGATATTATGGTTATGGGGTGTTATTTTTATTCAAGGGAGGAAAAAAGAAAAGAAATGCATGCTGCTCACCCAAATATCAGGACATTCTGTTCCTCTGTGATTGTGCTTCGTGAAAATGCTCTCCAACAAAAAAGAAAAAGAATGATTAAGGGAAAGAAATAACTAGAGCCACATTCATTTCAGCTCCAGTGAAAGCACAGCGGGAGGAAGTAGCTGTGTTTGCCAAACTCCAGAAAGAGACACAATTGATAGGGGGCGGGGAGGGGGAGACCAGGCGGGGAGGGGGAGATGAGGAGGAGGGCTCCAGGGTTTTATTCTCCCAAGAAGATATTGTAAATAATGGCAAGGTATAGTGCACGGAAGGAGAAATTACTCTGACAGGGCCCTTTTAGGGACGAAAATGGAACTAAATACACGTTCCATTATTCCTGATCTTTCGTTCAACTCCCCATTTACATGGGGGCTCCCTGGAGCTGATGTTTCCCCTTTGCTGTCATAAGTAGTCATTGACTGGAGCCGATCATTTCAAAATAATGGGCTGCAATTCTTCCATTGTCATGATTAACACAGGGTAATAATTATTAGCCACTCCAAAAACTGCAGAGGAGAGGTAACCGCTGCCAGGCTGCCCAGCTTTTCCGAAGCCAGGAAAGTTCCTCTTCGTTCCACCAGGGGGGGTGATGTCCCCAAGAGACCACAGAAGGCTTTCCGTTCTCCAGCTTCTCCAGGAAGCCAGGAGCTGGGGCTCCCATATCCTGGGCAGTAGCCAGAGTTGGGATTTGCTGTCATCCCAGGACCTTGCGGAACAACGCAAAATAGGGATTCCACAGGAGAGGAGGCTGAAGAGCCAGGTGGGTGGGGAAAGAAGAGAGAAGGTAAATCTACCATACTCCATCATCCCATACTCTTGGCCTTTGAAACATCAGGAAATATCATCAGCTGAATGGATCGAAGGGGCTGGAACCACCCATGACGCAGAAAGTTTCATCACAGCAGAGCCGTGAACAAGAGTGTATCAAAGGCAGGCAGAGAGAGAAATCATCCAACTCGAGACAATTCAAAGGCAAAATTCCATTTCTCGGCTCTGCCCTGTATTGCACTCCCTTGTCGATTTTTTAGGCACTGAGCTTTCTTAGCCATGACGAGAAGGCTTTTTTGTAGCCAATGTCCTTCCTCCGTTCTCCAAGGAGAGAGTTAGAGTGATGACGGCACGGCAAGGCTAGGAGAGAGGGGAGCATAGAGCCTAATTCTTGCTTTTTACAGATAGGGAACCAGAATCAAAGAGGGGAAGGGATGTGTGCCAGGCCAGGGAAGAGCAGAGGCAGGATTAGAACACAAGCCTCCTGACACCCGAGTGGGAGTTTTCCTACCTGCTTTTTTTTTTAAAGATTTGCCCTGAGCTAATATCTGTTGCCAATCTTCCTCTGTTTTTTCCTTTTTTGTTCCTCCCCAAAGCCCCAGTGCATGGTTGTATATCCTAGTCGTAAGTTGTTCTAGTTCCTCCATGTGAGCCACCACCACAGCCTGGCAACTGACAGGCAAGTGGTGTGGATCCCAGGAATGGGACCCCAGCTGCCCAGGCGGTAAGTGCTCAACTCTAACCACTAGGCAACCAGGGCTGGCTCTCGAACCTCTGTTTTCTGATGGAAATAGTAGTCTTTTCATTCGAATGTTGGTTCTGAGTCAATAGAAGCCATTCCAGAAAAATGGTGCTGTGAGAAAGAGAGAGAAAGAGGAGGATAAAAAGGGACAATTACTCTTGTTGATCTTTCCTTCCCACCTCATCACAACCCAGAGCATCCAACAAGTGAGTATTTTGCAAAAGGAACAATTATGAACTAAATATTAAACTGATGACGAGGGGAAATCTAGACCATCTTTCTAGGAATTCAAAACTCAGAATACAGAAAACAATGTTAAAGTGTTTTTTTTCCATTAGCTATTAATTGTTTCATGATGTGGGTGATGATGCGGCCGATTCCTGCCTGCCAAGAGCTTGTGCCATTTCTGGATTTTTCTTCTTAGACTTTAGTAGTTCATACCTTGCTCTAAATTTGCAACACTGAAGCAGGCACTGGGGTTTGCACCTGGATGTCAGGGTATTTGACTTACTGAAGCGATGTGTTTATTTATTTTCGCATGGGGCCATGGACTTTATCCTCTGCCAGCCTCCTCTCAGGGCAAGGCTCCACCCTCCTCCCCTCCCCCGACCCCCCTGCAGGGCCCTGGACCAGCCCCCACTTGTCTGGCTTGAGGCCTCACAGACTGCCCCAGCCGCTGCTCTGCACTGCCTCACAGCAGACCGGAGACAGGCCACCAGGGCCGGGTCTAGCTTTTCCAACCAGCCCCTGTTCATCACTCTCATCACACACAGGCACCGGTCCCAGGGAGGGCCTGGCACTGTGTTAGGTACGCCAGATATCAGTCAGGAAAGAGAAGTCGGAGGCCGGGGGCAGACAGAGGGAGAGCTTAATGTTCTGTCCCTGAAGAGCTTGCCGTCAGAGGCAGGAAGAAATTCTTCTGCTATCATTCTTGTCTTCCTCTCTCCCCTAATTAAGAGGAGATGTAAGTTCAATTCTGTTGGGGTTTGCAGGGCACAGATGCAATCACGGAGAAGGCAGACAGTGGTGTGTTGCTCACCCTGCTCCCTGTGGGTTCCCACAGAGACCGACTGGCATGCTTTCAGTAAGGGGTGGGGGCGGCACACGCTGTACCCAATTATCCCATTATTTTGATAGGCAGGCGTGGCCACATATGTGGCGTTGTGGGGGGCAGAGGTGACATAAGCTAGTGGACATTTGCATGTATTGGCAACTTCTTTCCTCTGGGCCAACTCTCATTGTTAAACATGCACACCCTGCAAAATAGGAGAGAATTGAGCTCATTAGTATAATTGTTTATAATAATCATGATAACAATTGCAACATGCGCTCCTTTGTAAGAGAAAATGACACTCCTGACCCTCAGTAGAACTGAAGCCCAGAGATGCTTTGCTGGACTTGCGCTGAGTCCGTGGGAGCCCTCCTGCTGCAGGGGCTCTGGGTCGCTGGCTGGTGGCTAAGAAGAGGGATGAAATGCAAGGCCTCCCATTTCCTGGCATTTGAAGTATGGACTCTCACACATTCATCACTTTCTCCTCATCAGAAAATGACAAAACAAGAGAAAATGGATGTCAGATAAACCTGAGTGAAAATTTTAGCCACACCACCTATTACCTGCATAACCTTGGGATCAATCACTTGACTTTCTGATGATCATCAGTTTCTGCATCTGTGAAATGGGGTGATAACACTTTACCTGGTAAGATTAGACACATGGGGATGAGGCGTCATATAGGTAAACAGCCAAGCACTGCAACTAAAACAGGATGGACACCCAATACATTTTATCACTTACCATTAGATAATGATAATTATAAGCAACTGAAGGGAAGTTATCATTTTGTCTAATGAAGAAACCTGGACAAAATGATCACTTCCAATTGGTTCTGAGAGTTTCTGATTTAAGGGATAAATTGTACTGGCTCTGTCCAGTCTTACTCACTCCCACCCCAGAAGGCCCTGGGTGTGCCTGCCTGGGAGACACGGAATCCTCAGAAAGCCCAGCTCCAACTGATGCTCTGAGAGCAAATGTCATCCCAACCAGGCTGGGCCATCAAAGCCAAGCAGGTTGGTACAGGGCTTCCTGGCAGGTGAGGGCTGCTGAGCAGAGAAGGACCCCCGACAAAGTGCATCTTCATAGTACCTCTCAGGCAATGAGGGCCAGTGCCATTCTAATTGCTGTAGAGTTGGGGGCGGGGCGTCTGAGGCACCTCAGCTACTCCCCCTCTTCTCTGCCTGCTTGGGAGGGTGTGGGTGCCTACGTGGACTGCCTAGCCATGAGGGCCAACTCCAGCATGGGTGTGCTTTTTGATTCCATATGAGAAAGTAACTAGACAGAATCTCTTTGGTCTGTAGCATTTTCCAACGGAGCCATGGGAGAAAAGGAGGGACCTCGAAGTGATGGAGAGATGACGCAGGCACTCCATAAGCAACGGGGTATTTCCCGAGCCCAGCTGTTTGCCCTTGAAAACTGAACAAGAGAACGAACCGCAGAACTGTAGTTACCACATTGAGAAGTAGGTTTGACTCTGGAAGGAACTTCTAGAGTTTAAGACAACATCCCCGTGTACTTGTACAACACTTTCTGATTCACAGTCAGTATCCTGTTTGATTCTTGTGAAGCCGAGTATGCAGGGCCATGGATATTATTTCACTTCACAGATGAGGAAACTGAGGCACTGAGAGGCTTAGCTGGAGATTTCATGACCAAATATGTAGTGTCTCCATTTTTGGAGTCTCTTAAAAAAATAAGGGAGGAAGGCCCTTTCTCAGACCTTCAGTGCCAGACACAGAGCAGCAGCAGAAGCCAGGAGCCTGAGCTGACCCCTGCCCACCCCGTCCATGCCTGAAGCCCAGTGGTCCACGCTCGCTCCCTGTCCTCTGTAGCCTTCTTACCTTGCACATGCAGGATTCTTGCAAATTGTTCCAAGGACCTGTTTCAGGAGGTTTAAGGCTGCAGTTTGCTGGGCCTCACAGAGAATATTCTTCTCCCAGAGCAACATTCTAGATGGAAGGACAGAGGCAGGGTTAGGGTTAGGGAAAGAGGGCAAGGTACACAGAGACTTCAGCTCCACTTGTAGGAGGGTTAGCAAGAAAGGATTGAAATCCGCCCTTGTTTGATGTGGCTCCTCAACAGGCCTGCTACTGTTTGAAACACATAGGAGAATGGGATTTGGGAAGGGATGGGAGGGGAGGACAGCAGAGGGTGATGTCTTCATGAATGGTGCTGGGAATCCTGGAGCAGGTGCCCTGGTGCTGTGTCCTGGTCCCCTGTCCCCACTGCCCAGCCAGAGGCTGGCCACTCTGGCATCTCAGCAGCCTCCCCTTTCATTCATGGGACTTGGCCTGCACACTCCAGCCTGGCCATCAGACCAATCTCTTTGCTCTCAATGAGGTGGGGGGTAGAGAAGGTTGCCTGACAGACACTGCTGGGTGAAGGTGAGGCACAGCATGGGAGACAGAAGGCCCCACCCACAAGGGGAACATGTCCCTGCCTTGCGATGTGGAAGTCAGGGTCAGGGCAAGAGAAAGATGACACGCATCTTAGAGCAGAGATAGATCGAGCTGGTGGTGGCATCAGTGGTCTCAGTTTTGGGAACCACAGGCGAGGCTGGTAACAGACTTATACCACCCAAGGATCCCTCACTGCTGACACTGACATGCAGGAGCCCACTCGCCTCCCGACCACAGGTCCAGGCACACAGCCTCCCAAACCCAGCCCCCATCCCACTCAAGGCTCCCTAAATATATGCGTGCGCACACTTGCAGGCAGCATTCCCATGCTAACCACTGACGGCTTGCCAGCCTCCACCTCTGAAAGGAGCAGACCATGCTGAAAGGCTGCCAAAGTGTGGCTGGCTTCCAGCACCAAAAATACCTCCTGTGATCCGAGGGGCTACCGTACTGGCATCTATTTGTGGGGCTGGAACTGCTGCCATGACAGAGAGAAGACTTCCCCTGGGGATCGGCCGGTTGCCCATTTGGGCCTATTCTCGCAAAGTCTAAGGCTCGCTTTCAAGGGCCTGAGGAGGCCAGCTCAGCTAGACTTGCCCCCACCAGAGAAATACTCATTTCTCCCAGGCAAAATTCAGTTCATTCTAGAATGCTGCTGTCCTGTTCTTTCCCACTTCTCTTATCCTCTTCTCTAAGTCATTCATCCAGTGACAAGCAAAAAAGAGGCCTGGGGCCCAGGAGAGCAATGCAGCAGCCACAGGCAACTTTGTAAGGATGAGGTTCCAGGAGTAGCATGACCGGCGGAGGTGGGTAGGTTGGGGTAGAGAGGAACTCTGTTGAGCTTGCTAGGATTTTCCAAAAATGAGGATTTGGCATAAGAAAAACACATCCCCATCCATCCATCCATCCATCCATTCATTTGATAAGTATTTATTAAATGCCCACTACTTGCCCAGAACTGTGCTGGGCTGCAGCCATCCCTCCTGATGGAAATGAGGATGGAATGCAAGGCACTGGCTAAGGCTTGATGAGTCCCCAGGGGCCGCGGGTTTGACATCAGCTGGACAGGATGAGAAAGAAGACATCAAAGTTCAGATAGATACCAGAAAACTCGAGTCCTTGAAAGACAGACAGGTCCGAGGGTATGGAACCTGTTGAATTATTGGTATGATTTCTTAAAAAATATGTGTGGAAGAAATAATCATGTACTGTATACAATTCCATTAAAGAGAGAAATCTAATAAATTTGCTCCTAATAAATAATATTTGTGGAATGAATGAATACCCAGTGATCAAAGGGATATGGTTATTTGTGATTATTAAAGACCAAAGGCTCATGTATATTGCCATTGCCTCAGATGATGTTATATCTAAATACAAACTGTGAACCTGAGCTCTTTTTTTTATTCCCAAGAGACATTTTTATAACTGTGTACTTAACTGATAAGATCCATATTTGTTCTAGCCTCTTAGGACTGAAAATATGAACAAATCTCTCCATTTTAATGATACTATTAATTCTTTTACCATTTTTACAAGTATCTATTTTAATTCCCTCAACTGTCTGAAGATTGAAGGTAGAAATTTCAGTCTTACAGATGGACAAACTGAGGCCCAGTGGTATCAAGGGGACTTCATCCAGGGTACCTTCCAGCAGACCAGGTTAGCGTTCTGTCCATTCTTATGGTGAGTGTGGGTACTCCTAGAACCTCACAGGACTCAGATCTCAGACCACGCTCAGTGGCAACATGGAAATTGGGTAACATTGTGTCATGCTGTCTGTCTTCTCTCTCTCCTCCTCCCTGTCTCTTCCTCTCCCTTTATTTGGGAAAGGCAGGGGAGGCTGGGAGTGAAGGGTAGCTGAACGGAGAAGACTGTTTCATTTTATCCTTCCTCATTCTTCATTCTAGGATTTATTTCTGGACCACAGGTGGGAGACTGGTATTAGAAAATTATTTAAATTGCATTATAATCTTCCCAAGACGTGATTAAATTGAGGCAGGGAGAAGAGATGTGACCTCTCCCAGGGTCACACAGCTCTTGATTTAGAACCAGAAGGTCCTAATTTTCAGCTTCCAGCTTTATCAGCTAGATATTTCCAACCCTAACGCTGGCTGTCTTAGGTGTAGCTGGCCAGACCCATGCTCCATGTATCAAACAAATGGGAGAAATTTGTTACAAAATCTTCAACATCTTCTTCAAATCATCTTCCTTAATAAATTGTGGTTTAGATTCTGTCTACCCAGAGATAAGAGGGAAGACTAGGCTGTCTGGATGGGGAGACAAGATCTATTTATGAAGAGAAATAAATAATAATATAGGGTAACGTATGATAATTCCCTGGAGGGGTGCCAACAATAAATGCTAAACAAGTTCAGAGAAAAGAACAGGTTCGGATCACGGAAGACAGCTTAGATAGATTCTTTGTGGCTTCACAGGACCCTAGGGATAACCAGGGAAAGTCACAGGCAGACAAATTTCAGCTAATTACCATGAAGAATGAACTCTTGAAGAATTAGCTAACTTCTGTAGGTAAAGCAAAGCCTAGATTTTTCCCTTTCTGGAGTGAATGGACGATTGTGCAAGACGACCCGTGAGTCTAATTTTTTTTTTTTTAAAGGATCCAACCGCACTGAGAATTTCGTGCGACTCCCTGTAGGGTTTCGGGAGTTAATTTTTTTCTATTTATATCACTGAGGACTGTGGCCACCAGAGGGCAGTAGAGGGAGCTTATCGGAATACTTCGACGTGCTGAGTAAACTCGCGGGTGCTCGAATCGCGAGCTTGGACTACGCAGACCCCGCGAACTCGCTGGGGTCTAGTCTGCAGGCCCCTTTCGAAAAGCCGCGCCCAGATGCTGCGGAGATGCTGAAACTCTATATGGCACGGAATCAACGGTCGTAAAAGCACCCAGGCATTGCCGTCCGGAATCCAGAAACCTCTCACCTTAGGTTATTAAAATAAGTTATCTTACCGCCACCTCTCTGATTCCCCTGCCGGGCTGCCTCCCTGGATCCGGACATAGAAAGCTCCCGTCTGGTCCCCCTCGCTTGCCAGGTGCCCAGGATCCCTAATAGAGCTAGAAGCTTGAGATTCAGAGCAAAGCTTCGCTTTGTATTATAAAAATAACAACAACTTCAAACCTCATTTGACAGCTTGTTGGCTTTTTGACATTCACAAGCAGAGGAAATTTGCTCCCACAAATTTCGAGACTCCCTTCTCAACCTCATCAGGCAAGGGTGGTTCCTCCCCACTCACCCCTCACTCAAATGAAAGATGAAGAGGGCAGCGTGCAGGATGTGCGTGGTGACAGATGATGCTAAGGGAGAGGAAGCCCACGTCCCCACTGCCCTCACCCACCCCTCCTGCGTCCTGAGCTCCCCGCACCGGGGCTCGCGAGGCCTCGACCCGAATCCCTAGGCCTTGGCAGGATTTTCGTTACCCCCTTGGCCACTTAAGGTGGCCGGTGGGTCCGGGCAGAGCTGAGTGCAGGGCGGGTAGCGGGGCGGCCTCCAGATGCCAAACCTGATTCTCCTTTGTTGACAGCTCGCGGAGGAGGAAGTCTGGGCGGGCGGGGGCGGGGGCGGGGGCGGGGGCCGGGGGCCTGCTGCGGCGGGCGGTGCCAGCGGCGGGCGCGGCCCCGGCCCGGGCGGGCGCGGCCGGCAGGGAGGGGGTTAACGCGCGCGGCCTCTATGATAATGAGCTGCATGGTAATATAGGGAGGCCGGCGCTGAGGGCTCCGCCGCCGCCGCCGCCGCCGCCACCGCGGGAGCCGGAGCTGCCGGGCGGAGCGGCGTCCGCGCCAGACTGGAGCGGGAGGGCGGCTGAGCGCAGTTGCTGGGAATTTTTCAGCCGGAAGGGCGAGCGATCCAGAGAGAGACCCCGCGAGCTGGGGAGCGGTGGGGAGCGCGAGCGGCGGAGCCAGCGAGGCAACCCTCGAATTAGATCTAGAAAGCCAGGTTCCCGGAGGAAATGGGACTGAACGAACCGGGGAGCAAGAAGGGAAGGAAGCGCCGGGATTGCTGATGTCAGAGGAGCCCGGAAAGTCGCGCTGGAAAAATCTGAAGACAGCCGGGGCTCTGCTGCTTCCCAAGGAGAGACACCGCCAGCCACCCCCACACGCCCCCTCGGCGCCTCCGGGTTACCCCCGCGAGCGGGCGACAGCGCCTGGCGGGGCTGCTGCGGGGCGACGGAGGACGGAGGGGCGCGCGGACCGGAGACCGAGGGGCCACTTCAGGAATACAGATAAGTGGCTGGTGGCTTGACGTGGATTTTAATGAATTTGGACTCCATGTGGATTTGGTCGTCCCCGTGATTGCGAGCTGCGGGCAGTGAGAGGGACGGCGCGCCGCCCTCGGCAGCCAGGGGCCGAGGCGGACAGACTGGGCACGGAAGGACAGACAGACGTCGCCGAGCTAGGTAAGTCGGCGGCGCCCCCTGCCCACCCCCCAATCGCGCTCACACCCCACGGCGGCTCCTCCCGCGTCCGCCTCTTTGGGGTCCCGGCCCCATGCACCGGGGCTTGGCTGCGGCGGCCGAGTCCCCGCGCGGGTCCGGCCACTTTCGCGGGCCGGAACGCGGCGCGCGCGCGTGTGCGGGCGGACTCCCAGCCGCCGCCTCCCGCCCTGGGCTTCCCGGCCGGCACCGGCTTCCCAGCCACCAGCCTCCCGCCGGCGGCGGTGGCGGCGGTGGCGGCGGCGCTCCGCGGCGCGCCTCCACCGCGCACCTGCCGGCGCTCTGCGGCTTTGGGGAGCATAGGGGCGGCGGGCTGTCCCGACAGCTGGAGCCCAAAGCGGGCCTTGGTGTCACGAGCAAGAGAGCCCAAGGCCACTGCCGCCAGCGCTCGGTTTGGGGGCGTTCACTCGGGTGCTGGAGTCCCTGGCGGCCGCAGGCTGTTCCTTCGGATCAGGGGACTTGGGAATCGAAGGGGAAAGCATCATTTGCGCGGGTTCCATGAGGCTCAAGGAGGAATTCCAAGGCACAGAAAGGGGATAAGTGTACTCCATGCCCTCCTATGTGCTCCCTCGTGATGAAGCACCGATCAGTACCATTCCCTGGTTTGAGCTGCACGAGAGGGTTGTGGGCTGAAGTAGGAGCTTGCCCAGGGTCCCAGAGGCTCCATATGAACCATTTGAGAATATTTCCCTCCAATGTGCTCTTTCTTGCCACCCCCCCCCCCCCAGCCACAAGTGATGTAGGGATCTTAGAAAATTCTGGTTCTTTTTATCCACGCCACAGGTAGTGAATGTAAATGTTAATCATGGTGTGGGGACAAGGAGAGAGTCACCAAAAACTGCCATTTCAGGTCTCTGACAAATGTCCACCTGTTTGGCATGACCCCTGCTCTCAGAGAAGCTACCTACTCAAACTCAGCTCTGAGTGAATGGAGATAATTAGGGAGAGGGGGAGCTGGGTAAAAGACTTGGGGTTCTGGGTCAGTTCAGAGTCTAGAAATGAGAGTCCCATTGGGTGGGCAATGGAAATCTGATCAGGTCTCCTGTTGGAATCTAAGATCCTAGGGTAACAGTGGCATTTCAGTAGTCGGTATGCAAGGGATATAACGACAGGATGAGTTTGAGGGAGCAGGGCTGCGAGTTATTAGCTCCAGGCAATGGCTTGGGGGTCCAGCAGCTTGGAGGAACCCACAGAAATTTTGGGACACTCTCATCCCCTTCCTTGTATTCACAAGCATAGTGGACAAGGTTTATGAGCGGCAGACTCAGATGAGTATCAGAGCTGGGCTGGACGTTTGGGGAGCAGGACTCAGGTTCAGCTCTCCCACTCCTACACAATAGCAGGCTCCTGTCTTGCTGGGCTTCTTTCCCAGACCTTGAAACTTCACTCTTCCCACTGGGCAGCCTTTAGATTCTGGGGCCTTCAACAGAGTGACAGAGCCTGGGCAAGAGATAGCTCTGGCGGGAAGAATTCAGCTATTCCTAATTGAAATGCACAACTTTTGTGCAATCACACCAGAAAGCTCCTGGAGTTGCTAGCAGCCCTCTCGCCTCTGACCTCCTGGCAAGAAGAGAGAAGAATTCATTAACTTCCCCCTCACCTCACATAGCACCATTAGAATTAATTACCTGTGATCTCTCCTCCTTGGCCTGGGGGGTGGGGAGGTGGGGTGAGGAGAGAGGGTGGGGAACCAAGGAGACTGAGAGAGCAATCTGTCAAGATACCCTAGCGAGGTGGTTTTTCTTTTCCCTTCTTCCACCTGGCATCTCCGCCTTTCATCGCGACCCGTCCGCATACCAGAACTTGCCCTCGCTGCCAGCATTACCCGAAAGAGCTGTTCCCCTCCGTCCCCCGGCCAACCCTCTTCAGGGACCAGCTGATAAAGGGAGGGCAATGCAGACTGCCCTCCCTGCTCCCTCACTGTCCTCAGCAAATTGCATTAGGATGGGGCAAATTGGCTCGCAAAGCAGTTAAATGGAAATGACATTTGGAGCGATGTGCAGTGGAGATGCCGCTGAGGAACAGCAGGATCCAAAGTGGTAAAGTGTCAGAGGGTCTCCTCTGCCCGGGGACCACGAGCCTGGCCAGGGGATCCCACCTGGCCCTTCTCTTTGACAGGACATAAGGATGAGGGTACCTCGCAGCCTAGAGCAGGGCAGGGGGCCCAGGTGGCCTTTCAGCTCAAGTCTAAATGAAGAATAAATGGTGGTGTCGCATGTCTATCCCCCAAAAGAAACCATGTCATTACAAGGTTGGTGACCCCCTTTCGGAGCTGGCCTGAATACCCACCCCCATCCCCAAAGTGCCAGGGAACATGCACCCTCCAGCCCCCTTGACCATCAAAAGCTGCAGGTGTGGATGCAAAAGTTCACCATCTGTTGTTCTAGAGTCTGTGCTTAAAATGAGGTTAAAAAGAGGCGCTCAAAGAACACCTACTTCTCTCCTAGGCCCCTTTCCCGGTGACAAATACTTCTGATGAGTTCGCTAATCTTTATTTCATGGGCATGTTACAAGAAAGCACACGGGCGGGAGGGAAAACCAGTGACACAGTTAAATATACAAGGCAGCAGCTGGCAGCAGCCTAAACTCGCCAGTTCAGGTACTATGAAATATTTATGGTGCTGGAGTCGTCACGGTTTGGGGGTGTTATAATCTCTATCTTGCCTCCTTTTCTATGGCAGCCTCCCCAAGATATGGGGTTTGGCGTGTGGGGAGGCGATTCCTGTCTCCAACAGCAACACTCCCCCCACCCCCCAGCTGTCTCCCTACGTTGTCACACAGCTGTCTCCACACACACAGACTGGGGCCCAATATACTTCTGTCCATCAGGGCAAATGGAGAGGCAAGGAGCTCCAAGCCAAGCCCCCCACCCCCAACCCCACCCCCATTCTGACCATAAAGAGACTGGAGCATTGTGTTACAGTCTGTTAACTGCAAATAATTCAGGACCGTCCACAGGGAAACTAGTAGAAGCAGGCTTTGCAGTGCTGTTGCTTTACAGCTCATGTGCACACCCCCTGGCCCCCATCACTACCACCCTCCCCCAGGGGCAGTCTGCTATCAATTCATTATATGTGAATATTCTGTTTTTCCCCTTCACATGTGCTCAGTTCAAACAATGATGGATGGAACTGATTCCCTTATGGGAAACAGTTTTTTCACTTAGTTACAAAGATTTCATGCCTGATTAGAGTAAATGAGGGGTGGGTGTGCGTCCGCTTCTTCTTTGGTCATTTCTAAAGGTGAGCCCCATGGAGACAGAGAGAGGCAGTTCCTCCTGGGGTCAAACAGCTGGTCCCAAGGGCCGGGGAAGGATGGATGGTAAGAACAGGACACCCCCTTTCTCCTCGGCTTAGTCCTCAGGCTCCCGGGGGCCCCATTCCCTGGCATTGGGGCATATGGAACCTCTTTATCTAGCTCCACACTCTTCCATCTGGAATTTGAGGACAGCAATAGAGGCAAGAAAGTTCTTTGTTGGGGAGTAGGGTCCCTACTGGGTAAGAGTGTACCGAGAGGAGGAAGGGAGGGTGAGAGCTGGAAGGAAGGGCTTAGGCCTGAGCAGTGAAAAGTTCCCTGCTCCGGCGGTTGGTTAACCATTAATGCCCTGCCCTGCCCTGGCCCTGTCTCCCTCCTGAGTGGAAGGATATCTCTCAGAAATCCGGAGAATCAGCAGGAGTTCTCCCCTGTCCCCCTCTCGCCCCAGCAGAGGATTTGCTCTGTCTCCTCTCCAGGCTCAGTCCTGGTCCCCACTCACCTTTTCTCTCCCCCTTCCCACCCCCTGCCAGCTGTTCCTTCACCCGGGCATTGCTGGTTGGTTGTTTGCATGGCGGGATGCATGGCAGAGGCGGGAAGGAGGCTGGATGGTGGGGAGCATTGACTGAGGGGAGTGAGCTGCTGTCACCCTGGACTCCAAAGCCAGAGCCCCAAGCACAGGTTATAGGCTGCTTCAGACATTGATGTTAACTCATGAGGCCCAAGTGTGCTTGGAGGACGGGGTTGGGGAGGGAGTTTTTGCCAAAGTTCCTTTCCTGGAGGAGCGCTTGGTTGTCCTCGCATCTCTCACTGGGGTCTGGCTTTGGGTCTCTGTTTTGGCCCGCTGAGATGAGGCCATTTGATCCAAGGCCTTGTCAAAACATTTCCAGCTCATCACACCTGGCACCCTGCACTTCAGAAAAAATCAGCAGATGGACCAGAGATACAGTCCAAGATGCAGGAGCGAAGGCACACGTGGGCAGATCCGAGTCAAGATGTAGAAACAGTCACACATAAAGGGAGAGAGGCAGGCAGACAGAAAAGGAAGATAAAGACAGAGAGACTGACAGTGTGCACGGAGCAGAAGGAGCCCGGAGCCAAGATGGCAAAGAGGGGGAAAGAAGGTCCACGTAGAGGGGGTTCTCCTCATCCCTCCTAGGCAGGGGCAGGCTCCCCAGGACTGAACTGGGAAGCTGAAGTAGCAGGTTATCTCCACTAGAGGGGACTCTTGAAAACCAGGCTTGGCCCTCAACCGTGGCTTTTGTGCTCTTTTTTTTTAGAAGAAAAAAATAGATGAGATATATTAGAAACTCTCAGCTGTCACTACCCAGAGACCACAACTGGTTGGGTCCTTTTCCCAGGGGGACCTCTGGGCCCCTGTCTGGTTGCAGGGGGAGTGGGAAAGACGCCTGCAGCATTAAGCAGAGGTGCGCTGGGTTGTGAGCAGCTCAGCGAAGGCCTGTCCGGACAGGATGCGTCTGGGGGTGGGAGGAGGTGGGGGGACGCATTCTCCAGTTGGCAGGCAGTCCAGTAGGCTGGCTGGCCCTTTATCAGCAATACAAGTTTTTGGCCCATCCCTAAGGCGCCTTCACGCCCTCCCCTTCTTCCAGCTCCCTCAATGTGGATTTTCAAAACACTCTCAGGTGGAGGCAAAACTGCTCCTGAGGAGACTTTTTTAAACAGACCTTTCAGGAACTGAATGCACGTCAGCG